GTAAGTTATGAATCATTTTAACTAAAGTGATGAAGTGTTGTAGATTATTATTTCATTCATCATGCAGTGCGAATAACTATTTTTCTTCCAACGCTTAGGCACGTTTAGTCTACCCCTAGATGAGCTAGGCGCGAGGCAAAAACTCAACGTCCGCCTTACGCCTAACGCTTTTTTTAACCTTGATTATTACTATATTAACTCTTTCATTCATTCAAACCAAACGTATGACTATGAACTCGTCATTCATTCAAACCAAACCCTCCATATAGTAATACTAACGTTAACAATCTAGCAGGCGAGTTGGAATATATATTAGATGGGGCTGGTGCAGTAGTCAAGGAATCAATTGGCATTCAAAGTATCCGTCGGGATCAGGATTCATAAAAAAATGGCAGCATGCACAAGAATAGATCAATATGATTCCCCAAGTACTGCCCTGCTCGTTATAGTAATGAACGGAATCACACACATATAGAACAACGTAACTAATATTCCAAGCAAATAATAGCTAGAGACGGCAAAACTTCGGCAGGTGATTTGGCCTGCAGAAGTGTCCAAACAGGAGGTGGCCTTGTTTCTGTTCAACATTCAAAGCCCATGAGAAAGCAACTTTGGGCCTGGGAACAAAGTAGCAGCAGATGCTGCATTCTCCTAGCCTCCACGCACAAAAGGTTTAGAATCAGCATTGTTTTGATCATACTAGCTACCAGAAAAGTGGTGGTTTGGTGGTACGCTCCATTTAGGGCTCTTAATGGACATCCTAGTTTTGCCATGGTTCGGCCTGAATTCGTTAAACTCATTTCAAACTCGAGCACGATTCGAGTTCAACATGAACTTTACTCGTTTGCAAAAATAGAAGATCAAGCTCGACTCGAGCTCGGCTGATAAAATGGTCGATTGTTAGCTCGAGCTCGAGCTCGACTCACAAGACACCAACAACAAACGGTTAAAGGCATTCGAGCATGTTCGCAAGTCTATAGAACTGAACATGTCATGTATCTCGAGCTCGGCGCTTGTTTATAGACGATCGAGCATGTTTACGATGCAGCTCAATTAAAGACGAGCAGAATGTCAAACGATTTTTTTCTCTCTAATCAGACGCTGAATCGAAAATGAGCGATTTGGTTTTCCCCTAGTTCGAATCCTACTATGGCAGGCAGCAGACTGCAATGGCCCGATATAGTTTATTAGCAGCGGTTAGTTAATTAGGTTGTGTGTGATTGGTCAAGAGGACCAAAATCAACGGTCCAGTCCTCCTCCTTGGTCCTGTTCCTATGCTAAATTATAGTAATATAGTAAGGTGATTAATAAAGAAAATCTCTGCCCTAATACGAATGTGTCAGCTATGTAGCAAAGGTTTGCAGTTACTGGAGGATTTGTCATTTGTTTCAACCGTCCGTTCATTTTCCAAATGGAACCAAGCGATCGAGAGGATTATATAATGGTGTTCTAACCCCGCGCTCGATCCAAAAAATATAGATATGTCGTACGTGGGAGAATGGGATCTGAATGGCAAGAATATATGTAAGACAACTAAATGGATATTCTTTGGTGTCGGTGATTCAATTTGATTTTGTCTACAGTAAAACTTAAATAAATATGAATATGTTAAGAATGACGGATAAATATGAATATGTTAATTAGTATCTAATTTGAACTCGTTCAATAATATATTTATTATTATACGTAATATGTACGGTACACTGCACATGTAATCATGTATTCTCTCCAAATGATTATTTTTTTCTGCATATATTTAACGAAATGAGACATGCAAAAAATGGTAAATTGGGCTCGTTCAGTTGAAGAATCATGGACAGGTTCCATCCTAGTTTTTTCGTTCTTGTCTATGGAAAGCATGCATCAAACCCAACCTTGTCTGGGCTTTTGTCATTCGGTTGGGCTCGCTAGAGAATGGATCTAGCCCAGTCTTAGTAGACGGGAGCAGCAACTAAGTATGGTGATTCGCACCCCGGCCCGTCGATAATTGAAGGGGAGATTTCAAATAATTCAACGAACAAATAAACAAAGCTCAAGTAAGAACAAAAAAATATATTGGTTGAAACAGTTTCCAACTCTAAAAACCCAGAGCCGTCCCATGATCTTTGGAGGCCCTGTTCGAAAATTTAACATGTGGCCCCTAATTTTTTTCTCAATAAATTTATTAAATAATTATAAAGTACATAAGTTCAGAAAATGATTTCAAAATGAATAAACAATCTCATTTCCTGTTTGACCAAGAAACCAAGACTAAATTCTCACTCCTAGCAAGGAGGGAGAAAGGTAAATCTGGAGGGAACAGAAAATGGATATAGAGCAAATATTGAATGGAGAAATGAAAATAATATAAATTGATCGAGAGGTGGGTGCGGGTCTATCTAATGGATCGTGTAGGCCCTATTCCAAAATTGAGACATGATCCAAATTGACTTTTAACTATAATAAAACTAAAATGATTATAATACCATTATTTAAAATATAATATCTTTCTTTATTGTTTAAATTAAAATTATCTATTATCTCTCTGATTTTCGTATTCTCCATGAGATCTTTTTCAATTGTTATTATAGCTAAAATTATCTATTAAATTCGTCATCATATTCATAATCTATCAATCATACACTAAAAAAACAACCTGCAATATTCGATCGATAACTAACGAATTTAAGTGGAGGCCCCTAATATTCAGAGGCCCTGTGCCGGAGGGCGGGCCGGCACACCCTCTTGGCCGGCCCTGTAAAAACCAAAATGATAGCTTCATTTGTTCCCACAAGCAGCAACAAAATTATTGTTTCCACATATTTCTAATGTCTACTTGTCATAATTCCAAGAGAGCTCTAGATGTGTCTTGTCATTAGTCCGTTGAACCATAACGATGAACTAGTTTTACATCCGGGTCGTTGGCCAGATTGTGTTACTCATATGATTTTATGTTAGACATTTGTGATTCAGTTTTTGGTATTTTGCATTTGAGATTCCAAGTAGTGTCTTGGTAGTTCCAAATTTTGAGTGCCAAATAACTCTATTTTCCTAATTGAATTAAAGTTCTATTTAATATTAAAGTAAACAATAATTTGACCAAAGCTCTTTATTTTCGTTCTATGTGAAATAAAAAGCTTACAAATGAAGCTGGGAAAACTTCTTAATAAATTGCTATTTTGATTTAAATATTGCATATTGTCTTAAAAAGAAAGACATGTACAAAATATTAGTCTACAAAGATAAGAAAATAAAAAATACTGTCATATTAATATGTTTGTTAACTTGCAGAGGTATTTTAGAATTTTGTATGTTATTCATCTATTGGAAGTTTAAGTACTGAAATATTAATTTAAGCTTTACCAATATACTAATATAAAAATATTTTATTAATTATACATGATATTTTCTGTTTCTAATAGATTTTGGATAAAATTATTGCTTAACCTAAGCATTGGATTGTACTTTGAGAAAAAGTTACACATGCGTATTTGAAAGTTTACAAAATTATAAACAATAAAAGTGTGTTGTATTTTCTCCCATATCCCATTTTTTTTCTTGGTCTTTATGTACGTTGAACTCACTCTGTAATCTGTATAAGATTCTAATGCTTCTATGGCCTACGGGTTGATAAATTGTTTAAGGTAAATTACTATACTAAGGTTTGTTCCCATTGAATGGATTACCTAAAAATCGGATGAAAAAAATACGTTTGTGAAAGGTTGAAAGCAAACAAATTTAGTTAGAAGGAAGGCCTAGAAAATTTATCAAGAGTATTAAATTTTAGTTAGAAGGAAGGCTTGGAAATATATCAAAAGTAGAAAAAATTTAGTGCGATCATTAACCCCAAAAGAACTTAAGATTATCTATAAAAAACTTATAAGAAGATTATAAAAGCTGATCGTAGAAGCTTACCGACACACAACAATATGAGGCTCAAACCAAATACAAACACTCAGCAGTAGTCAAACCCAAGGCAAAGTAATAAACCATCTTTGTCATCCCAAGACCCAGTTCAGAATCATTGAGAAATTTTACAATGCTATATAGTATTGGTGCTATAGGGTTTTACTTTCATGGTACAACTTAAAATTGTACATTTACGTTATGGTACAACTTCAGGTTGTACCTATACTTTTTGTACAAATTCTTTTATGGTACAACTTGAACTTGTACCTTTATGTAATGGTACAACTTCAAGTTGTAAAGTTGTACCAAAACATAATGGTACAAATTGCTTTATGGTACAACCTAAACTTATACATTTAATGTTATGGTACAACTTTAAGTTGTACATTAAAGCACCAATACTATATAGCATATAGAAGTACTCCAGAATCATTATCTTATTCAGTAGCTCTGCAACGACCCTTATCAAGTAGCTTTAAATAGCTTATGTTTTCCCTTCATCAAACAAACTAAATGAGTAATTATCCTAATTGTATTTACAAAAACAAAAGCAAAAGCCGAATAATTATACAACAGAGGACCGGAATTCAAGCAGCATCCCAATTCCTCCGGCCTGCTTCGTAGCAAACTGCGGAATAACCAAATGTGCAGCGACCGTTGAATTGGACTTAATCGACGGCCAAATTGCGCCGTCTGCCATTGCTCTCCCTTGGTTCGTTCGTCTTCTAGAAACTTTGATGATTGCTACAAACCAAGGGAACTTCCTCCTAAGTATAGAGATCCCTTGGAGAAGGACAATGATCGGTAGAAACTAAAGGAAAGCTAAATTGACTGATACGGTTTAAGAACAAAATCAGCCATCGGGAGTTGAAGAGGAAACTACTGCTTTTTTCACAATAAGAACGTTTAGATGATAATAATGGAAGAAGTGCATGGCTGCCGTTTGAAGATTGTTGTATACAGAACGACAACATTTGGAAAATGGGCAAAATTGGCCTTCCATCGAATAAGGAGAACCAATTAAATTGCCATGTAACAACAACGATATAGAGTAGTGTGCATAATATATGATGTAGAATAGATAATCAACATCTGCAATAAACTAAATACATGCATGCTTTATAATTTTATTTGTTTGAAAAACAAAATTCTATGCAAATTGGTATTATCATCATTACTTTAAACTCCTCATCATTAATCAGGGACGGAGCCAGCTTGTATCAGTATGTTGGGGTAGCATGGCCCCCCTAAACTTATAAATTCTAGCAGAAGTGAAGCATTACAACAAAGAACTAATTTAGCTTAGTGGTTTGACATGTTAAAATTCTTGAAACTGATAAGGAGGATAATGGTTTGATCTCCTAATGGGGATGTTGTGGAATTAACTACTAATTCTCGTCCACTTACTGTTAACCTCGCCTCCCACTACAGCAGTAGCGCTAGCATGTAATAAGTTTCTGATTGAACTTTTCCTAATAGAAATATCATCATTTAGAGGATGGTTTTCTAATGTGTTTAATTTGCTCTTCCCCACAATCTTTCACCTGATTTTCTTTTCAATTTTGTGTTGTTTATTTTGCTTAAAATTGGCTCTCCCCCACAACATTTCCCCTAATTTTCTTTTCAATTTCGTAGCTAAGTCTCCTATATGTTTTTAACCTTATTTTCTTGACAAGTCTATTTGCAAGTAAATTTATTCAAAACTTTAAAGTGTTACTATTTAAAATGGTTAAATCTTGGCTAAACAGGCCTTCAAAATGCATCTAGCTCGATTTGCGGTATTTGTAGTTGACTTTTGGCCACTATGTGAACATAATCATTTTTGTGGTATTGATAATTTCAATTATCTATTGAAGAAAAGGACCAATTTAAGCTATTTTATATTGAAATATATGTCAAATTTTGTAGTCTTGGAATAAGTTTAAATGATTTTTACATAAAATGATTGTGAATAATTTTGGGTTTGATATTAAATATTTTCTTCATCACTTTATATGTGTTGGGGAAAAAATCAACACCCCTCCTAATTGGAAATCCTAGCTATCAGAACAGAAGCGTGCAATCGATAATTCAAATCAACACGAACGAACACAAATTTAACGTGGTTCACTAACACAATGTGTGCTAGCTAATCCACGGGCAGAGGAGAACAAATTTCACTAATTTGAGGAGAGTACAGGTTACAAACCAAATTCCGCACGGACAAACCAAACAAACTAACCTGACTAACCCTTACTACAGATTAGGGCTCTTCTCCTAATAGACAGACAGAAAACCAAATACCTTTTCCAAACATACAAGAAAAAGGCCAAAACAAAACCCAAACCCAAAACCAAACAGAATAGGCCCAAAACACAAAACAAACCCAAATCAAATTCAAGTCATATCCTAACATCTCCACCTTGACTTGAATTCTCTCTCAAATACCAAATGTACCAGACGCAACCAAAGTTGTCAGATGTACCCAAACACAATCCAAATCGCCAAATTTACCCAGATGTGATCGAAATCGCCAGATATCCAGATGTGATCGAAATCACCAAACTTAAACGCGATGCAAATCGCCAAACTCAGATGCAATCAAAATTGCCAGACGTACCAAACTCCTCCAAATCAGCTGTAACAGAATCTCCCCTGCCTCCAAATGCCCCTAAGGGCGGTCAACAACTCAAACCATTCGGCAAGTCTAATCCATAGTGAGACTTGTCATTCAGAACCAACTTGGTGCACTTATCACCAACATAACATGTCAAGATAGAACCTTGTAGATTATACAAGGCACCACACATGACACCTTTCAAAATCACCTTAGAACCCTTGTAGACAGACAACACTCCACCTTCACCTTTGAAATTGAAACCCTTGTTGTCGAGTAGACTCAAAGATATCAGATTCTTAGACATCTCTGGAATTTGCCTAACATTGTTCAAGGTACGAACATAACCATCATGTGTCCACAACCTGACAGAGCCTTTTCCAACAATCTTAGAAATATCACCATTGGCCATAGAAACATGTCCTCCATCTATCTGCTCATAAGTTGAAAACACTCCTTGCTTGGACACATATGATAATCAGCTGCAGTATCTAAATACCACACATCCTGATGATGTACCTGTTCATTCACTGCTAAGGCTAAACCATCTTTAGAATCATAGCTAGTTTCTTCCGCCACAGCAGCAAAATGATTCCTTCTTCTCCTGATTATTCTTTAGCTTAGGACAATCAAATTTTCAATGCCCTTTCTCTTTGCAGTAATGACATATATCATCTTTCAAACCAGCAGAATTCGAATTTGTATTCGTCTTCCTATTACCAGATTGTTGTCTCCTACTACTCGTAGCAGCCAACCGGCCAGATGCCTGATTTTCCGAACCTGAACCAGACGCCTTATGTCGAACTTCTCTAGTATGTAGAGCAGATCTGACATCTTACAGAGTCAAAATATCTTTCCCAATAATAAAAGAATCCACAAAATTCTCATACGACCGTGCCAAAGATACTAACAAAATTAAGACAACATCCTCATCATCTATTTTAACATCAATATTCCGCAGATCTAGCAAGATAGTATTGAGTTGATATAGATGATTCATGAGAGACGTATCTTTCTCCATAGGCAAACTGAACAAACGTTGCTTCATATGCAACTTGTTGGTTAAAGACTTTGTCATATATAGACTTTCAAGCTTCAACCACAGTCTTCTCAGCAGCAACCTTAGTGATGATGTCATCAGCCAAACAAAGCAAGATTGTAGAGTGAGCTTTCTCCTCCAAAGTAATCCACTCTTCTTCATCTATACTTTTCTTCTTCGATTTTCCAGACAACGGAGCCCACAAGCCCTGTTGTTTCAACTAGGGGTGGAAATTGGGGTGGGTGTGGTTACCCGCCCCACATTTTGCGGGTAACCACATCCAGAAATATAGAATTATGCTACCCAGAACCCGCGCCGCAGTGGGTAGTGGTTAACCACTACTCGCTGCGGGTTGGTTGTGGATACCCACAAAAATTTCACATTAAATATAATAATATGGTAATTAAATAGTGATGTTGTGTTTCTTCTCACACAAAACAAAAACATACATAAAATAAAGTTAATAAAGTGTTAAATAAATTATAAATCTCGAATACAATAGGTTAGTTAGAAAGAGATTTGAAGATAACGGAGAGACGGAGTGACTTGTTACCAGAAAAACATTGTTGCATGTCACGGCTCATCCGATGGTAACAACAGCAAAATACAAAAGTGGCTCGATAAGTGGTGGCGCCCGCTTTTAATGAATCGATTATTATCCACTTTTGATTATAGTATTGTATCGTGGAGAAATGGAGATGAGTTTGGGTATCAGACTAACCTTTATAGATTATTCCTCACTTTTAACGAATCTATTAATTTATCTGACTATATCTATGGATTTGGTTTTGTTACAAAATAAACATATACCACACGGACAATGCTTATTTGATAAATGTATCTCACATGAACATTGCGTATTGACTTGGTTTTGTTTTATAGAATAAGTGCGTATTTGATTTTGGTAATTACTATAATTCTTAGTCTTACAAGTTTCACAAACTAATATAACTAATGTGGTTAATGTGGGTTTTGTGGGTAAACCGCTGTGGGTAGTGGTTAACTACTTACCACAAAAATCAATATTTTGCTACCCACACCCAACCCACTATCCACAAATTGTGGGTATGGGTATCCACAAAGTGTACGTTGTGGTGCGGTTTGCGGGTTACCCGCAACCCATAAACCAAACTTCCACCCCTAGTTTCAACAGTGCTTGCATCTTGATCTGCCACAAACTGAAACTGTTTCTTCTGGTAAACTTCTCAATCTTCATACTGATAGCAGCCATTCTTACTATCAAACAAACTCCAACCAAACTTCTCACCAAACAAGCGAGACCAAAACACAACTACCCAAAGTAAATTTCAAAGCGATTACTCCACCGAACCACGCTAAAGAAATGAAAGCTACCTCCACAAAGCAAAACTTCAGTCCAGCGCCAAATTCCCAAAACCGCAACCAAAAGCTCTGATACCACTTGTCAGAACATAAGCGTGCAATCGATAATCCAAATCAACACTAACGAACACAAATTTAACGTGGTTCACTGATAACGATGTAATTGCACGTATTTGCACCCCTAATTCTTATCCGTTTGAGAGACATAGTCTTGTATTTTGGCCTATTTTATGCCGGGTTGTGCTATTTTGTCATATTTCAGGTCCCAGGCGTCAAAGGAAAGGCTAAGCACGAGTTTCGGGGCATTCGGAAATCATTTCGTCGAGCTGGAGCCAAAATACGAGCATACCTAAAACAGAACACAACCGTGTTCTGTGGCCGTGCTTTTACTGCCGAGAGCAAATTCAAGTTTGGCAAACATTGGCTAAAAACACGGGCAGGGCTTAGCCAAAGCACGGCCGTGGCCACCAAAGCACGGCCGTGTCCATCATCAAACACGCCCGTGTTTCGCCCAATGCACTGGCCGTGTAATTAACCCTAGCCAAAACACGGGCGGGCTGAGGCATTACACGGCCGTGCCCTCGACCGTGCTTTGGCCACTGATGCCCTTTTAAGCAGATTTTCAGCCAAAGAGAAGGGGATTCAAGTTTTAAGAGAGATAGAGCGATTCCTAGAGAGAGAAAGTGACGAACAAGAGTCTCCAAGTGCCCTAGATTGATCTTCAACACCATTGGAGGCCAGTTTGAGCTTGGAGAAGTGCCGATCAACGCCCAGGAGCAGGAATCCATCCTTCACAGTATGAATTCCGCATCTGATTCTGCTTTTGCTTCTTTCTCCATGGAGTAGTTCTCCCATTCATCTGGGTATGGAGAACCCTAGATTTGTATGTTAGGCTTTGATTGTATGAACCCAGGTACTGATTCTATGATTTGATTATATTCGATTGAGGTTTGAATGATTGAATCGCATGAATCCTGATCAAATTCCTGTTGTTTCTGCTTCAACCTAGAATGAGAATATCTGCCTAGGTTGATAGAGCATCCTTGATTGAAGGTAGGGAGTTGGTGACTTTAGTCGAGGAGCCAACTCACTATTCTGTACCGAATTTACTCCGGTAGTGGAGGTTTTGTTTGTTAAGGCCTCAATCTGTTTACTCCGGTGGAGGTTAGTCGCCCGCTAGAGACTCAGATTGAGAGGGTCTGAAGACCTTTAGTCGAGACTTCAGGCTCTTTAAGAACCTTCCGCAGTATAACTATCATAGAAACTGAACTTGGTAATTACAATCCGGCTTAACTGCAGTCTAGGGGGAACCATATCCGGGTGACCTCTCTTAACCTGAATACAACCGTTTACTTGCTTTGTTAGTTTGTTAGTTTAGACTTGCATTAAAGTTTCATTGCTAGATAACAAGAATTCACTGAGTAGTCATCAAATCTAGGACCCGGGTTGATAATTAAACCTAAACCCGCTATACTACGCTTTAGGAAGTGGTTTCACTTGGCCAATTCCTGGAGTGACAATAGAAGTGAGTCAAGTTTTTGGCGCCTTTGCCGGGGAAGGCTAGGTTGTTGAAGAAAAGTGATTTCTGTTAATTTAGCTTTTCTTTTTGCTTTGTCCCACTTGTGCCTTCACGGGTTTGCTTGCTTGAGTGTGTGCAGGTAGTGCATGACCCGTAGCCAGTCAGGAGGTTTACTGCCGTTGAATCCAGAGATTGACCGCACCTGTCGCCAGCTCAGGAGACAACAGCGAGCTAGACTGGCAACGGAAGAGCGCATAGACGTCCACCTGAGTAGCGATTCTGAAGAAGAGCACGGGATGGACGGAGACTACAATCAACACCAGGGGAATCCGCAGCAGGCTCCCCCAGTGAATCAGGTCCTGGGGAACAACCCCATACCCCAGGATCTTGGGGTTCATCATCCACCACAGCCGGGTCCCACCTTGGAGTACTACTACACTCCTCGGATTGCTAACATCCGCCCGGTCATCCTCTAGCCGCCTATTCCAGCAAACAAATTCGAGATCAAGCCATGCTGGATTCAGCTCATCACATCATCTATCCAGTTCCATGGCTTGAAGGATGAGGAGGCCAGGGTGCATCTTTCTCGTTTTCTGCAGCTGACGAACGGGTTCAAGCTGAATGGTGTCCCGGATGATGCAATCCGCCTTCTTCTCTTCCCCCATTCTCTGGCGGGAAATGCTAAGAGGTGGTTGGAGACCCAGCCTCCATTGTCCATCACCTCTTGGGACGATCTGGCTGACAAGTTCGTGCACAGGTACTATCCGGCATCGAAGACTACCGAGATACAGCGGGAGATCACTCACTTCCGCCAAGAGGCAGATGAGTCACTTCGTGATGCATGGGAGCGATACATGGGATATTTCTGGCAGTGTCCCCATCATGGCTTTAGTGATGCATTCACAGTGGGGAACTTCTACAGTGCTCTCTCTCCAGACAGCCAGAGGGTGATTGAGTCTCTATGCCCAGGAGGGGATGTTCTTACTAAGACTCCACCAGAACTGAACCAGATGATTAATACTTTGGCTGCCAGAGATCATTCTTGGGGACAGAGCAGCAGAGGCAGACAGTCCCGGGACCGTGGTGTGCACGCCATGGAGACCAGATCCGGGCTCGAGCAGCAGGTAGCTGAGCTAGTGCAGACATTGAAGCAGCCCAACAGTCTTATTCCGGGCAGAGGTTTGGCTACACCTCCAGTTGCTCAATGTCAGTGGTGTGAGAGCTCGAATCACTTAGTGGAAGACTGCCAGGCTATGAGGGAGTCTACTACTCCCCAAGAGCAGTTGGACTTCATCGCCAATGCTCGACGCCTCGACCCGTGCAGCAACACCTATAATGAGCGGTGGCGCCAGCATCCCAACTTCTCTTGGGGCAGCAACACCACTAAGCCACCTGGTTTCCCAGCCCCAGCTGGTGGCTTTCAGCAGAGGCAGCCCTTCCAGGCTCAACAGGGGCCAGCCCCACAACAGCAGCCCTACCAGCCTCGACAGGGGCCAGCCTCCCAGCAGCAGCCCTACCAGCCTAGGCAGGGGCACCCATTCCAGCAGCCTTAGCGCTAGTTCGCCGAGCCAGCAGCAGCTCCAGCTCTAGATACTCAGATGAAGAAGCTGGAAAACATTCTAGCTTCATTCATGACTAGCACTCAGGCAGCTATCACGTCACTGGAGGCAGGTCAGAGGAACCAGGGTGCCATCTTGCAAGATCTGCAGAACCAGGTGGGTATCTTGGCCCGCCAGAACACCACAGGGCACCGGGGACTTTGCATGCCACCACTGTGACGAATCCTCGTGATCCTAACCAGCTCCAGCAGCTTGATGCCATCACTACCAGGAGTGGCAAGACCACATCAGCTGCTCCTGCCCAACCTAGTCGAGATGAGCCACTACCTGCTTCAACACTTCCAGCTGATACTGCAGAAGTGGGGGAAGACACAACAACGCCTGCTCCCAAGCCACAACCCGTGGTTAAGGAGCATGTACCTCAGCTTCCTTTCCCCACTCGCCTGCATAAAGACAAGCTGGAGACTGAGTTTGCCAAGTTCATGGCAATGTTGAAGCAGGTCAACATCAGCATGCCGTTCGTGGAGGCACTGTCAAAGATGCCCAAGTATGCCAAGTTCATGAAGGACCTCCTCACCAACAAGAAGAAACTTGGGGACCTTTCGACAGTGATGCTGAGCGAGGAGTGTTCTGCCATCCTGTAGAACAAGCTGCCCGAGAAGCGAAAAGACCCAGGGAGTTTCACTATCCCTCTTGTTATTGGTAGAATGCATGTAGGAAAGTCCTTGGCGGACCTAGGCGCTAGCATAAATGTCATGCTTATAATTTGTTTAAGAAGCTAGGCCTAGGTGAACCTAGAACTACTAGGATGAGCATTCAGTTAGCTGATCGTTCTATCGTGCATCCTAGGGGTATCATTGAGGACTTGCTTGTTAATGTGGGTGCATTCACATATCCTGTTGACTTTGTTATTTTGGATATAAATGAGGATGTGGATGTACCTTTGATTTTAGGTAGACCGTTTCTCATAGTGGTAAATTGATTCTGCGTGCTGGTGATGAACATGCTACCTTTTCTGTGTCTGAGAATGGGAAACACTCTCATTTACATGATGACATAGATTACTGTGATATGCTTGCTGATTTTGAGACCGCACTCGCTATAACGAGTGCGGGTACTGACGATGTTCTTGAGCGTTGTATTTTGCTAGGTGAGCAGGCATTGCAGGAGCCGCAGCTGGCGGAGCAGTTGGCCGAGTTGGAGAGTGGCCCCTTCTTGGAGGGCGACAGGCTGTTCAAACCGATCTCATCCTCCACCCGCATCGCTACTTCCTTGGAGGAACCACCAGAGCTGGAGCTTAAGCCCCTCCCTCCTCATTTGGAGTATGCATTTCTCCGGGAGGGGAATAAGCTGCCAGTCATCATCAGCTCGACCCTCACACCCGAGCAGAAGACCAGCCTGGTGACCTTGCTGAAGTAGTACGAGCGAGCTCTCGCATGGAAGATCACGGACATTCGGGGGATCAGCCCTTCTTTCTGCTCCCACCGGATACTGATGGAGGATGAGATGCGGCCAGTGAGACAGCCGCAGAGAAGACTGACACCGAACCTGGAGGCTGTGGTTCGGGCAGAGATCGTGAAGCTGCTGGACGCGGGGATCATCTTCGCCATTTCCGTCAGCGAGTGGGTCAGTCCCACCCAGGTGGTACCCAAAAAGGGTGGGATGACTGTGGTGCCTAACGAGAAGAATGAGCTGATCCCAATGCGCACGGTGACTGGGTACTGTGTCTGCATTGATTACTAGCGTCTCAACGACGCCACTCGGAAGGACCACTTCCCGCTACCATTCATTGATCAGATGTTGGAGAGACTGGCGGGGCACGAGTTCTACTGTTTCCTGGATGGGATGTCTGGGTACTTCCAGATCCCTATTGCACCGGAGGACCAGGCGAAGACCACTTTCACCTGCCCCTTCGGCACCTTTGCTTACCGGAGAATCCCATTCGGGCTATGCAATGCCCCGGCCACTTTTCAGCGATGCATGCTCGCTATCTTTGACCGTCTGGTCGGCGAGATTATGGAGGTGTTTATGGACGACTTCTCGGTTTATGGAGACTCATTCTCTCACTATCTCCATAACATGGAGCTTGTCCTTAAACGGTGTGAAGAAATGAACCTGACACTGAGTTGGGAGAAGTATCACTTCATGGTTCGAGAAGGCATAGTTCTTGGGCATAAGATCTCCAAGATGGGGATTGAGGTGGACAGAGCGAAGATCGAGACTATCAGCAAGCTGCCTCCTCCTTCATCTGTTAAGGGGATCCGGAGTTTTCTTGGTCATGCAGGGTTCTACAGGCGATTCATCAAGGATTTCTCGAAGATTGCTCTGCCCCTGACTAAGCTTCTAGAGAAGGATGCCCCCTTCCAGTTCACTGATGCATGCACAGCGGCTTTCACGACCTTGAAGGAGAAGCTCACACAAGCTCCTATCATGGTTGTTCCTGACTGGTCCCTGCCATTTGAGATTATGTGCGATGCCAGTGACTTTGCTGTTGGAGCTGTGTTGGGGCAGAGGCGAGGTCAGCATTTCCGACCTATCTACTACGCCTCGAAGACCTTGAATGATGCCCAGGAGAACTACACCACCACGGAGAAGGAGCTGCTCGCGGTGGTGTTTCCCTTCGATAAATTTTGTCCTTATCTGGTCTTGTCCCATGTGACCGTGTATACAGATCACTCCGCGATTTGATACTTGATGAGCAAGGCTGATGCCAAGCCTAGGCTCATACGATGGATCTTACTGCTGCAGGAGTTTGACATTGAGATTCGGGACAAGAAGGGAGCGAGGAATGTTGCTGCCGATCACCTCTCCCGGTTGGACGCACCCCCTGCAGACAACCTCGAGGAGGAGATCAATGACTCCTTTCCAGATGAGAGACTGATGATGATGTGCCTGGTGGAGAGTGTCACCCCCTGGTATTCCGATTTTGCAAATTATCTTGTGGGCCAGCAGCTGCCCAAGGGGATGACAACTCACACCAAGAGGAAGTTTTTCTCCGACCTGAAGTACTACTTCTGGGATGACCCTCATCTCTTCAGGATCGGAGCCGACGGGATCATCCGTCGATGTGTTATGGAGAGTGAGATGGAGGGCATTCTATCTCACTGTCATGAAGGACCTGCTGGCGGTCACCACGGAGGAAACCGCACGGCGAGGAAGGTGCTCCAGTCGGGCTTCTACTGGCCCACGCTCTTCAAGGAAGCAGACGCCTTCGCACGCAGGTGCGACCGATGCCAGAGGTCAGGTAACATCTCTGCCCGTGATGAGATGCCCCAGAATGTGTTTATTACTTGTGAGATTTTTGATGTCTGGGGTATCGACTTCATGGGCCCCTTCCCTCCATCTTTTGGTAATACATATATCCTTGTTGCTGTTGACTACGTCTCTAGGTGGGCTGAGGCGCAAGCTTTGCCCACTAATGATGCTAGACGTGTTTGTGGTTTTCTGAAGCAGCTATTCTCCCAGTTCGATAAATTGTTGTCTCGCTATGGTGTAACTCATAAGGTGTCCGTGGCCTACCATCCTTAAACCAGTGGCCAGGCCGAGATGACGAACCGGGAGCTCAAGCGGATCTTGGAGAAGACGGTGAACCTATCCCGCAAGGATTGGTCCACCAAGCTCGATGATGCTCTGTGGGCATATCGCACTACCTACAAGACGCCCATTGGTACCTCACCGTACCGGCTTGTCTATGGAAAGGCTTGCCATTTGCCTGTGGAGCTAGAGCACAAGGCCTTCTGGGCCCTTAAGCTGCTAAACTTGGATGTTAGTGTTGCAGGTGTTGAGCGAAAAATGCAGATGTTGGAGCTGGAAGAGTGGCGTTATCACGCCTATGAGAACACCAAGTTGTACAAGGAGCGCACTAAGCGCCTGCACGATGCACGGTTGTGGGGTCCGAAAGAGTTCCAGGTTGGTGATCGAGTTCTCCTTTATAACTCTCACCTGAAGCTCTTTCCTGGAAAACTCCGTTCCCGGTGGTCTGGACCGTACACGGTCACACAGGTGTTCCCGTATGGCACAATTGAAATTGCCAACCCGCAAACTGAGCCATTTAAAGTTAATGGCCATCGTCTCAAGCTCTACCTGGGAGACAAGGTCGAACGTGCGGAGTTAGCAGTGGAGCTCACGGACCCTTAGTTCCGCAATTGGCGTCCAGCTAAAAGACGGTAAAGAAGCGCTTGTGGGGAGGCAACCCCACCACGGTTTGCATTTCTACCCTTTGTTTTTATTTATTTATTTTTTTTTGTCGATTTTTGAGTCTTTGAGTCTGTCTGGAGTCAGTCTGGAAAGTTTTTCGTGCCTCGGGCGGTTCTTTTTGATGTGTGATTGGGTAAATTTCAGCGCCGGGGCACGAATGAATCTTGGTGGTTTGAGATTGAAAATTGAAAAAAGGCCTTTTAGGCTCGGCAGTAAAAACACGGGCAGCAGGGGGCCAAAACACGGCCGTGTTTTGATTTTTGCTCTCGGCATAAAAATCACGGGCACTGAGCTCTGAAAACACGGCCGTGTTTTGATCAGAGCCCGCCCGTGTTTTAATAGCTGAGCATTTCGCCCTCGGCAGTGAAAACACGGGCGCGGAGCAGGCAGAACACGGCCGTGTTCTGCCCCGCCCGTGTTTCGCTCCCCCCCCCCCCCTATAAAATCGATTTTTCAGCCCCCCTCCCACAGATCAGTTTTTTTTTTTCAAATTTCTCAGCCCCCTCTCGCCGGAAAATCGCCCCTTTCACCTTCTCCTTCGATTTTCCGGCCATAACTTCCTCTCCCGACCTCCAAATCACAAACCGCGAGCGCCCCCACGCTCCTGGCGTCGAGGAGCACATTCCCCAAAGATTTGGGCTGGTTTGGCTGAGGTTGGGTTGCCGGCGGTGAGTTTTCCGGCGAGACTCCGGTGTGTTTTCCGGCAACTTTGGGTGCTTCTTTCCACTTTCTTCACCTCTCTCGTGGTCTCTTCTTGCGTCTCCAGGTGTGTTCTCCTTGTCTTTTCTTATATTTATGGAGAATCGATACCAAGAGTTAGGTGAAGAACTTTTGATTGTGGAATGAATGGTTTGGGAATATTTTGGGTTTGGGGGATGATTGGGCTGAATGCATGTTGCATGGTGTGCGTGATATGTGGTTTTTTTCCTGTGATAACTCGATTGGTGCTATTTAGTACAGTTGTGGTATGTTGTTTCACCGGGGGCCTAGTCCACTGTCCGAATCGCTCGATTTGAGGGTCCCCGGTGTATTTTGCTGTGTAAATCTCGTATGATGGGTATGTTTGTGTTGCCGGGAGTCTAGTCCACTGTCCATATCTTTCGATATGAGGGCTCCCGGTGTGGTTTTGGCCTAACATTGACCCCGTTTGCTTGTGTACACTTTGTCCTTCATTGTGTTTTGCAGGATCATGGAGGTTTATCTCAACCAGATGAACATCGTCCAGCGCCATAAGCTGCGGAACCTCCGTGACCGCAGCATCGCCGAGCACTTTCACCTCGATTGGGAGGTGTTCGAGGAGCTCCATGCCAGGCCAAAGATGGAGGCCACAGTCCGCTCCCCTGCTTGGCGGCGTCTTCTCACCCTCGCCGAGCCGACCTACAAGGAGCTGGTCTGAGAGTTCTATGCCACCTTCCACCACAACTCGAAGGGGAACTCCGACCATGCTGATGTCGTTCAGTTCACCCTCGGCGGGGTGGAGCACTCCCTCAGTTACTAGGAGTTCGCCAATGCACTTCGTCTCAATTCCCGGGAAGCAGGCGGGCCTCCTCTCCGCTTGGACCTCTCAGATCCCACCGACTTCGCTTGCCAGGCATACTTTCAGAGCATTTGCCTGTCGGACAGTGTGGATGAAGAGTACGTGGCCAGCCAGACGCGGGCTGCTCTCCTCCGTCCGGAATGAAGGATCCTCAACCACCTGATGTGCACTTCTTAAACACCCAGCCAGGGCTCGTCCAACCGGGTCACACTCCGGACTCTCTAGTTGTTGCATGCGATGGGTCGTTCTGAGGACACCATCCAGCTGGGCTCTGTGCTTGCCCGGACGTTCACTAAGGCCGCCATCAGCACGACTCGCAGCCTCGTTTGTGGCCCGGTGATCACCACCTTGGCCCGCAACTACGGGGTGGACTACACAGGGATGACATTGGTCCGCGGACCAACCCCACTCGGCGAGCCTACTCTCTGCCACCAGCACTTGGTTGCTCGCCTCGGGCGTGTGCGCTGGATCGCGGGCCTTCCTCAACCACCTATACCTGCAGAGGGCGACCAGGCCGAGTCGAGCGCCGCTGGTGGGCGCCGCGTTCCCCGTCGTGCCCAGGCTCCCGCGAGCCCCTCTCCTGCTCCCCGGTCTCCTTCTCCAGGGTCACCTCCTCCAGTGGTGGTGCCCATCTCCGACCAGTTGGCGGCGATCTCGCAGCAGAATGAGCGCATCCTGGCCGGCCAGGAGCGCATCCACACCCGCCTTGACCGCGAGCGGGACCGAGGGCGTCGTCTCATGTCGGGGCAGCACTACATCATGTCCTACTTGGGATTGGAGCCAAACGCGGTCCACTACCCGTTCGTGCAGTCCCCAGGGTTCGAGGATGAGTACCCTCCACCCACCAGCGATGGTGGTGATGCCTTCTAGAGCGGGTTTTGTGCTTTATTTGTTTTCCAGACTGAGACTCCGTGTTTTGTGGTTTCGTTTTGTTTTGTTTTGTTTTATCTTGGATTGTAGACTTGGTACTCTGATTCCTATCACCCAGTGTGTGTGTTTTTGTTGTCTCTAGCTCTGTGCCTCCTTCTTTTGACTGGTCCGCCATCCAGTCAACGTTCCTGACCACTGTTTCACGGTAACATCGTTCCCCTTCCCTCTGCTCCATTGAGGACATTGTCACGTTTAAGTGTGGGGGGGTTCTTTGTATGAACTGGAACGTATGTATGTGTGCTTGGAGCCTAGTCCACTGTCCAAATCTCGAGATTTGAGGGCTCCAAGCACGGCTGTTTGCTTGATAATTGATCGTATTGGCACTGTGGATGTGATTAGTGAATTGAATGGCTTTTGCCTTTATACATGACAACTTGAGTGTGACTTAGACAACTTATTGTGATGATTGAGATGTGCAGTAGAATTGTGTAGGGGTTCAGTTTTTCAATTGTCTGCTCACCAAATGTGACTTGGTTCGATCACTTGCTTTTGACAGTCATTTATGCATCTAGTTCAGGGAATCAGAACGAGAGATAGAGCATATAGGTAGCCATGTGAGATTTGAGCCTGCTCGTTTCTTTCTTGTGCGATAGTTTCCTCTTCCATGATGTGCAGCATTCACGTTGTCATTAGCTAAGATGATGGAGGCATAGGATTAGCCCACGACCAAATTGACTGTCCTGGTGTGTCATACCCCTAGTCAGCCCCTTTGAGCCGTGTGTTTTCTTTCTTTCGGTCTTCAATGAAAAGTCACCCTTTTGCATCTTTTAGAAGGTTCCACAGAGTGATTTTTACATGTTCTCTGCTGTTTCTGCTAAATGTAATGTGAGGGTTGGAGGTAGTGCTTAAAAGTTGGGCAGGTGTTTGAAATTGTGCAGAGGCGGTGGTTCTCTTAAGAAATGAAAAATAATGAAAGAAAAACAAAGAAAAAAATGAAAGCAAAAGAGAGCCACCACAAAAAATTTGAATAATGCCCATGTAGTAGTGTTTCTTAGCAGTCTGGCTTAGAAATACTAGCATTTATGTAACCTCCTTCGCTCTTGTGCTTTGAACTTGAGTAATGCAGAATAGCAGAAAGAAAGTTATTGGTTTGATTGATTGTGAGTCTGTTGGGTTTGAAAATGTGGAACCTTGTGCTGTATGAATACTTCCACCACCTAAAAGGCCTTTTCCCCATGTCCGAGACCCTAGCCAGTCATTTGAACCTGTGTCTAAGACCTCCGGATTAGTTAGTGATGACAACCCATATGTGAACTCTAGCACTTAGAGGCTGCATTCATGATGAAGAGATGTTAGGGATTGAGAGATTAAGCATGCGCATTTTTCGCATCATATTGTCCTGACCCCACTAGTCGAGAGTGAGCGATTCATTTTCTCTTTTTCTCTATACTCTTTATCCCGGTGAGGACCTAGATTGCTCGGTCTTAATTCTGATATATTGAACTTTGTGCATGATGTGACTGTTTTGAACAAGTGGTTGAGTCAAGTCTATGTTGGTTGGTGAACAGAAGGGAGACTCTTCCTTTGCTCGATTTTACTGCATTCGAATGTCATCTGTGGTGGTTGTCTGGGTTGTCATTGAAGTTGTCCATGTGTTACTGATCGAAAGCCAGTATGATCCACGTGTTTTGTGCCGATATGTCATGCCTTGTTGTTTTGAGCTTACCTTGTGTCTGACTTGGTTTGCTTGGGGACAAGCAAACGGTTAAGTGTGGGGGGATTTGATAACGATGTAATTGCACGTATTTGCACCCATAATTCTTATCCGTTTGAGAGGCATAGTCGTGTATTTTGGCCTATTTTACGCCGGGCTGTGCTATTTTGTCATATTTTAGGTCCCATGCGTCAAAAGGAAAGGCTAAGCACGAGTTTCGGGGCATTCGGAAGTCATTTCGTCGAGCTGGAGCCAAAACACGGGCAGACCTAAAACAGAACACGGCCGTGTTCTGTGGCCGTGCTTTTACTGCCGAGAGCAAATTCAAGTTTGGCAAACATTGGCTAAAAACACAGGCAGGGCTTAGCCAAAGCACGGCCGTGGCCACCAAAGCACGGCCGTGTCCATCATCAAACACGCCCGTGTTTCGCCCAATGCACTGGCCGTGTAATGAACCCTAGCGAAAACACGGGTTGGCTGAGGCATTACACGGCCGTGCCCTCGACCGTGCTTTGGCCACTGATGCCCTTTTAAGCAGATTTTCAGCCAAAGAGAAGGGGATTCGAGTTTTGAGAGAGATAGAGCGATTCCTAGAGAGAGAAAGTGACGAACAAGATTCTCCAAGTGCCCTAGATTGATCTTCAACACCATTGGAGGCCAGTTTGAGCTTGGAGAAGTGCCGATCAACACCCAGGAGCAGGAATCCATCCTTCACAGTATGAATTTCGCGTCTGATTCTGCTTTTGCTTCTTTCTCCATGGAGTAGTTCTCCCATTCATCTGGGTATGGAGAACCCTAGATTTGTATGTTAGGCTTTGATTGTATGAACCCATGTACTGATTCTATGATTTGATTATATTCGATTGAGGTTTGAATGATTGAATGACATGAATCCTGATCAAATTCCTGTTGTTTATGCTTTAACCTAGAATGAGAATATCTGCCTAGGTTGATAGAGCATCCTTGATTGAAGGTAGGGAGTTGGTGACTTTAGTCGAGGAGCCAACTCACTATTCTGTACCGGATTTACTCCGGTAGTGGAGGTTTTGTTTGTTAAGGCCTCAATCTGTTTACTCCGGTGGAGGTTAGTCGCCCGCTAGAGACTCAGATTGAGAGGGTTTGAAGACCTTTAGTCGAGACTTCAGGCTGTTTAAGAACCTTCCGCAGTATAACTATCATAGAAACTGAACTTGGTAATTACAATCCGGCTTAACTGCAGTCTAGGGGGAACCATATCCGGGTGACCTCTCTTAACCTGAATACAACCGTTTACTTGCTTTGTTAGTTTGTTAGTTTAGACTTGCATTAACGTTTCATTGCTAGATAACAAGAATTCACTGAGTAGTCATCAAATCTAGGACCCGGGTTGATAATTAAACCTAAACCCGCTATACTACGCTTTAGGAAGTGGTTTCACTTGGCCAATTCCTGGAGTGACAGTAGAAGTGAGTCATTCACTAACACAATGTGTGCTAGCTAATCCACAGACAGAGGAGAACAAATTTCACTAATTTGAGGAGTATACAGGTCACAAACAAAATTCCGAACGGACAAACAAAACAAACTAACCTGACTAACCCTTACTACATATTAGGGTGGTGAAGAGTATTTATAGAACTCTTCTCCTAATACCAAACAGAAAACCAAATATCTTTTTCCAAACATACAAGGAAATGCCAAAACCAAACAGATAGATCCAAAACACAAAACAAACTCAAATCAAATTCAAGTCATATCCTAACACTGGCTCCATCCTATCAGTAATGCTATTATTTCCCTCCTAACTTCAAGAAATTTTGAACGTTCCGTTCTTGGACATCAGACATGATCCTCGTAATAAATTAAATAAATGAACATTGATGCAAACTACAGGTAGGAATGTTACGTACCCAACATAAACATTATCAGCTTCTCGCATAATTTATTTCTTCATCTATTTTTTTTTTTTTTGGCCTAGCAATTTATTTCTTCCTTATTTCAACGTTGATTTCATGGGCTGTTAATTAAGCGATATACTTTGGGTAAGGTTCAATCTTTACATATTTCCGGCGGCTTTGTATGAATATGAATTTCTTTGCTTATTTGGTTTAGAGACATGTGCCGGTTTCTTTTCTACCCAAGATTGTTAAACCCCTATCGAATCTCCGGTTGGACACGGTCCGGCCCGAGTCGAGCTTGAAAACGATCTTCAGAAAGCCCCCTCAGTCTGACCCCTACAAAGTGAGAAGAAGAGAGAGGAAGAGAAGAAGAGGAAGAAAGAAGGGAGATGGTGGGTGGATCATGAAGGTTAGTTAGATTTATTTTGTGAAAAATAAGTTTTTAATATATATATATATACATATATATATGATAAATTTTATTTCGGTCATTATATCTAATTACTACCTTATTTGTATATATATATAGAAAATATCTAAAACGGCTCAAACCGGCTGGACCCCGATCAGACCATTAAACCTCAAACCCCTTGCTTAACTGGCTCAATGACTTAAACCGGTTTGACAACCTTGCTTCTACCAATAAGATCTCAATTAGCATTGCAACTTAATTAGCTCTGGATAAAAGGTTTGCGTTTAGCTATTCCAAAAACCAATGTTGTCAGAAGTGAACCGGACTATGACCGATAATGTGAACGGCTCGATCTTTAGCAGTCCAACCGACATTAGACTGTTTAAAAACCGTTAGAGAATCGGTACCTAATAAACAATCAATATAATGGACATTTCTTAATGAGAGTAAACCATGACTAAATTAGTAAATTACACTCTTAACAATTCTAGAACATGAGTACCAAAAGTTTTAAAATTCAATTACAAACCACCACATTGTTCCAAAATAAAAGCAACGTCACACTAGTCTAAACATGAAACAAGAGTTGAAGCAATAGAGCTCGGTGTTGTTGATGGGTACCACTATATGGATTTGGATTACTCATATGCAAAAGAAACACCAAATCAGACAAATGAAATGGGCTCATTCTCTACCAAACAAATGCAAAAAAATCAATTCCCTGCCTCCAGTTAAAATGCAAACCGTGATTCTCTACCAAGGCAAGTTAAAATGTTAAATAATCAGCTCCCTACCTTGTAAGGTTTTTGCAATTGCAACCGTGTGTATATCGATATTAATAGGGGTATATATACCCAAAGATATTACAGTGTACAAGTAGGATTGGAATACTAAAGACAACTATATAAGAGGAATACAAATATGATCAGGACAAAGACTTGTCCCTAATAGACCTCATGCTAAAATCAGCTAACAACATCATTTCTTAAAGAGTATGAGTTTTCCAAATGTTTATGTTGGAATTGAACAAGAACCCACACGAAAGTTAAAGAAGGAATCAACAATTCAATACCTTACCTCGTCGTCGTTGAGCAGGGCAGTGGCCGGCGGAGATTATGCAGAGGTGAGACGATCGGAGCAGGAGCAAGAAGATGAGGAGGAGCTGCTACGGGATAGCGATGGCGACGATGGCGAGCGGGGTGGGGAGCTACTACGGCCTACAGGGACCGACGATGGCGAGCGAGGCAAGGAGCTACTACAAACGGGATATGACGAGAGGAAGCGATGGCGATAGCGATGACGACGAGAGATGACGACGCCGGGACGGGAGATGACGCCGCCGACTGGGAAGCGATGGCGATGACGATGTCACTGCTATTCACTCTATTCGCGAAGAAGACGAAAGGAGATGAATTGAAATCGGTCGCTAGGGTTTTCTTTCTTTGCAGCCCAGCCCGACAATTTGCGTTTTTGTTTGTGTTTTTTATTAAATCAAAACGGCCGGAAGTGGTGAAAATCGAGCGACAGGCTCAACTGGCTCAATCGGTTAACTGCTCCGGCCGGCATCCAGCCGCTTCAAAAAGCCATTTCGGCTAAAGAGTTGAATCGAACCGGTTTTCTGTTCTGATACCGATTTTACCGGTCTGACCGGCCAGCTCGATTCGAATTTAATAACACTACCAAAAACTTATGTGAGAATTCAGAATTGAAATACTTGGATTGAGATTTGAGTTCGAAATGCGTCAATCTCTCAAATCTTTTTCAATTCCCATATTTAATAATATTTTCCGTATTTAATTTTCCCATCCGTCCTTCAAGTTAACTTTTGTCTCGCTCGCTCCACTAACGACATCCTAAAAATGGTAGAGAGGGCGGCTTGACTTGTACACAAAGACTTATATAGGAGTCGACCAACTAATTAAGTCAATTCACCATCCCAGCTGACATCTCCCTTTACTATCAAGGAACCAGCTGGAGATACAAATTAAGAAAGGGTCCCATTTGCCCAATTCCCACCTACATGCAAACTCAAGTAAATAAGGTGTAGCAATGCCTCATTTACCGCGAGTAAGCAAACTTTCTATATACTTTGAATTGATCGAATTTTGAGATATTATATCATAATCTAAATCTTAATGATTGAAACTATGTTCAAATTCACTAAATCTTATACATTAAGAGCCACTTAATTGTTCCGTAAGAAAATCAATTTAAATTTATTGAAATATGTGTAGGGTTTATTATCTAGACAATTATTAAAGGTTCAAATAGAGATAGGATTCAATCATTAAAGATTAAAATACAGTATACACCTAAATGTGAGTTAACAATCCCCGCAATCTTAGGGGGTCTTCCTTGACATCCTCATTTGGCTGGCTTTGGCTATATATATATATATATGGCTGAGAGAGATTAGAAAATGAATGATATATCATTTTTTCACACACACCGTCAAGTGAAAATGAATCCATTATAAATTTAAAGTTTACACACGCCACTATATCATGTAATTAAATAAAGTATTACTATTCGAAGTTGTGAAAATTCAAATATGAGACTCAATCAAACACTCTAATACCAGTCTATTAAAAAATAAACACTTACTATTATGTCAATAACTAATTACTCGTAATATATATAAATTTTGAGAGGAAATTAATATAATTCTTATACCACTTTTAGAACTCTTCGATATCGAAACTTTTTATGCCAGCTGGATGGAATCTCCAGGAATATTCAAAAGGACAAAAACAGAATCATACACATGGACGGCTCAATGTATATTTAAATTGAATCAACTAATTAAGTACGACCGGCCATGCCATTCCTTAGTTTCGTTATTTCTTTGTTGCCGGATATGGCAGTCACAGTCCTTTTTGCTTTAATTGGATATGTTTTTAATTTTGTATGCTATTAATTATTTTATTGATTCTTCTTTTAAAGATAATGCCTATTTTTATTCAATTTTTTTCATATTTTTTATATTATCTAAACCTATCGAAATACTAAGAATTAGTCAAATGTTAACTTTACGTTAGCAATTTTGTTAGTAATATCAACTTGGCAACGTAATAATATTGACGGGGAAGAGACACATGAAGGTCAACATTCCAAAATTTTAGTATTTTAATTAAAAAAAGAGTTACAAAATTATTTACGATAACATAAAAATGACTAATATTTTGATGCATTATGATATATTTGGCTAATTAATAGAATTTTAATAGGTTTGAAATATAAAAGAATCTTAAAAAATTGGATAAAAAATTGCTAAATTACACATTTGGTCACTCAAATTATATAATTCTTTCACGTTTGCCACCCAAATTACTTTTCTTTCATATTAACCACTAACTTTACGATTTGTTTCACCGTTAGTCACCAACCGTCAGTCCCCGTTAAACTCCGTTAACACCGTCAGTTATCTGATGACATGACAAAAGAGAGTACTGAAGCGGCGCCAAATTTTTCCGTGGATTGCATATTTTGCCTCTTTCACGGTCAAAATTCCTATGCTACTTGTGACACCATTTCTTAGTTTCACTTGTATGATCCTATGTATGTCCTTTATTATTGTCTATCTTGTATTTTTGTTGTCTGGTCATATATCCTGGAGGCTAATCATGGATAACAAAAAATGGAACCTCTTGAAGAAATAAATTTATTTTTATAAATTTGTCAAAAGAATGAAGCAATCAATCATAATTCATAAACAACATCAATATGGTTCGGCCAATTTAGTTCCGATCCCGTGGAGAACCTCATTGTTATCCAGATTAGGAGTGTTAACTCAATTAACATGTAATTAGCTGCAATTAACGTCTACATTAACTCGTGACACTTTCATCGGTCATTATACGTAAAATACCATTTTCGCTAATAATGTGTATAAGTGATCCTTGAAGGACATTCAATAAAAGTATGTCTAAAGTTATATTCTCTCTCTAACTCGATATTCAAAGGGTTCCCATAGATTCGAAGAACGAGAGTCGAACCATCTCCTTTACTAGCCCAAATGAATGGTGCGTGCATGGCCTTCTATCTAGGGATGACAATGGGATGTGTTTGCATAAATCATTCTCATTGCCGATTTCAAATATTCAAACTTATACTAGTCTCATATACCCATGTGGGGAAGGAGTTGCAAACCCATGCCCATACCCGTGGATTTTGGGTACCCATGTGTAATATCCCTCTGTACATTTAACATTATAACAACCAAAATTTTATATGTAAATTTTCAATTATAACACTAAACGCACCTACTATATCATGAAATCGACAAAGAGACAATCATTCTTAACACGGTTCAAAGCAACTTATCCTAAAACATCCATTAATCCATAAGAATGAATACAATGTAATCCAAATCATTATTCTCTTACTCGAAGACATCTACTAACTAACACAATTTTATCAACACGAGGGAAAAATGAAAGAGTGAAGGGAGAGTTGAGGAAAATGAATTAGGTTTTGATTTGGGTGGCCATCATATTACATTTCTACTAAATATTTTCTTGAGTTACCCTCACTATTATTGATAATTTAATCAATGTATTTTTATATGTGAGAAAATGCTCTTGAAGTGGGAGATATGAGTATGGGTATGGAACGAGGGAGGCTAAAACCATACCCACCCCATACCCATCAAACGTTTTGCGGGTTTTACCCATACATGATCAAAGCGCGAATTCCCCACGTTGACTGAGTCGGGAGCGGTCAAGTACCCGCAGTCATGGATTTGATTATCATCCCTACTTCCACCTCGTGTACATTAATGGGTCGTTTGGAAGTTGCGATTGTTAAATAGATGTATTGTTGATAATGCATGTATAATATTATACATGTATTGCCGAATTTGATGCATTGTAGAATACAACGTTTGGTATGTGTGATTGTGTATGTCGCATCAGCTAAAAGCTGAGACAAAACAATCTCAACTCAACTATCTCAACAATCACAACTAAAAGTTGAGATATAACAATCACTCAAAATGAGTGATAGTTTCTGTCACATCACAGAAACAATCCATGTATTGTTTCTGCTAAAAAACAAAAAAACGATGCATTGTAAACAATACATGCATAATGACAATCTCAACAAAACTATCGCAACTTCCAAACGACCCCTAAGTCAACGATCTGCTTGATAAAACAATTATCCATCTAAAAAATAAAAGTTTTGGTATTTAGTGCACAAGATTATGAAAATATTCACAAGAGATTTTATGTACCTGCATTCCGTCCAAAATTTCACTAAATAGTAATACATCGCACGGATTCCAAACAGTTCGTAAAATAATTATATTTTAATCTATTAAAATAATCATGTGCTGATAAAATTACACCAATAATTATGACTCAACCACTCCTATTAATAAACAAATCATCACAAATACCTCTTTTTTTATAACTAGTCTAGAATTTCATTAAATCAATGAATGGTTATTACAATCAACCCTGAGTTGGTTTAACAAACAGACAGGGAGTCGGTCTAACCATATCTCAGACTCCTCCCAACCACACCTCACCCTGGCCATCAGGTGAGCTGCCTCATTTCCCTTCCTTCCCCAGAAACGAGCCCCAATCTCCCCTTCCTCCACCATAGCATTTCTAATCTCCCTACACACAGTCCCGATCTCCATCTCTGTTCGGTCCTCCTTCAAAATCTTCCGTATCACCGATAGACAGTCCGATTCAATTAGTAAAGGTCGATAATGGTGATTGATGCTCAAATTCAGTGCCCAGAATATCGCCTTCGCTTCAGCCACTTCGGGCGTCCAGGCGGTTCTTGTCTGGTGGACTGCTGTCATTCGAAAGATCCCTGCTCCGTCTCTCACCACCAAGCCGAAGTCTGTGTCGCCTTCCTTAAAAATCGCTGCATCCACATTCACTTTAAAGCTTCCTGCTCTGGGTTTCTCCCATCTGTATTCCATTTCATCTTGAATTCGTCTTGCCATATTTGAACCTATCGATAGTATATTGCTGCCCCACCTCCATATAAAAACCCTGATTTTTGTGGGTATCTGCAGATCCCTTAGTCTTTTCCAGTCGATGGGGATATACCATTCCCCCGCTATGTTCTCTCTTTTACTTCTCCATAGATAGTAAGCCGATTTCACAGAGTATCTCCCTAGTTTCTCCGGTCCCCATACCCTTGTGTTTTCAAATGGGTGTGCTAGTAGTGGAATTTTTCGAATTCTTTTCCGATCTTCAGGCTGAAAGTAAGTATGAAGTAAGTTGCTCTTCCATGTTCTACTCTCATTGTCTATCAAATTTCCACTTTAGCATCCCAGTGTAGCCCGTTCATTCGCGTTTCAACTTTGTATTCTGGTCCTTCTGGGATCCATCTGTCCCACCATATTCTAGTTTGTTTTCCGTCACCAATTCTCCACCTTGTTCCTTCTTTAACCAAGCCTTGAGCTGCCATCAGTGATCGCCAAATATAACTCGAATGGTTACCAATCTGAGCTTCTAGGATTGAGCAATAAGGGTAATACTTAGCCTTTAAAACTTTTGATACTAGGGAGGTAGGATTTTTGAGTAAGTTCCATACATGTCTTCCTAATAGCGCCAGATTAAAGCCATGTAGATCCTTAAACCCATTCCTCCTTCATGCTATGGACGACACAGCTTCTCCCAACTCATCCAATGTATCTGACTCGCTATGACACAACTCCGAACAATGGCCAAGTGTAACCAATGGAAGGGGCTGCAGTATAGTGGCTCAAGTAATAAATATCGAATCCACAGGTCTCTAGAGTTACTATTACTCAGCTTCAGTTCATTATTTAGCAAAACAGATTAATAAGGAAGAACTAAAACTACTCTAGCAAACTACAGTTAAAGTTAATCTAATTACAGGTTGGGAACTCACTTAGGTATGATTCCCCCTAGCCACTAGCCAGATTAACGATTGATGAATTCTAACTTGTTTCACTTTCATTCACAATGCGGAGAATCCTTGACTAGACCTTGAGTCTCGACTAAAGGAACAATGCCCTCTTGAGTCAATTGCCTAGACGGACTTATCCTTCTCTAGAACAACCGATCAAGGCGTTCTGAACTAGATTCCCTCTATTGAATGAGGTTCTCAATCGATACAAAGCAGTGAATCAACCCTCGACTAAAGCAATCGATCCACTACTATCAATCTATGGTGCTCTATTGACCTAATAATTTATTCGCTCTCATAGGATCAAAGCAGAATCAATAATCTCGACTAAAGCAGAGTGAAGGGAAGTTACTCCATAGAGAGGAGAGAGACTGCAGTAAGAATCTTCAGATGATCGGTCTTCAAGTCCGGGCTTGTTCCTCGAGCTTCCAAGGCGAAAAAATCTTACAGTTCCACTCCAAGAATGCCCTCAAATCGCCCTCTCTCTCTTTGGTTCGTCCCTTGGGTGTTTGGGATCCAAAACCCAACTCTCCCTTTCCTTTGGCTTCAATATGCCTCAAAAACCCGATTCTGGGCAAAACACGGTCGAGGATACGACCGTGTTTTACTTTTGCCCGCCTGTGTTTTGCCCCCAGCAGCCTCGTCGGCCAAAACACGGTGGTGCCTAAATATGGACACGGCCGTGTTTTTCTTTAGGTCAGCCCGTGTTTTTACTGTCGAACATGTTCCCCTATATTCAATGCTTCGTTTCTCCCTCGTCCGGACTCCGAATCAGCCGCCGTTTGATCCCAGACGCTCGTAGTCTCGTCCTCTTTCTTTTCATGACAAGATTTCATGATTCTTTGTCCATAAAGTGAGGTAGAAATTCATTCTTCTTCAGGTCATGCCCGAGTTTCTTCTCCCTAATCGCCAATTGATCTCTGATTGACTTGAAACTTGCGCCTATGCTTCACTTTATGTGCTAGGACCTGAAATGTGACAAAGTAACACAACCTAGCGTAAAATAGGCCAAAGACGCGATAATTAAAGCTCAAACAGTCAAGAAACAAAGGGGAAAACATGTGCAAATATCGAGTCATCAAATCCCCCCACACTTAACTGTTTGCTTGTCCCCAAGCAAACCTGACTCAAACCAATGCAACTCTCCAGACCTCTATAGCAACAAACAACCCCAATCGTCGGTAGAGGACTTTCTAGATCATAAAGCAGCTTACGAGGACAACTGGTCTTCTAAGACGTCCCTTATCTCTCTCAATGCGAGTACTAGACTCAAGCCATGATCATGAGAAGAAGTAGAAGTAAGACGGTCAGTTCATGGATAAAGGGACTCACACCATTCACAACCAAGGACTCGTTGTACTGGGGTGCTCTTTCACTTCATTTCACCGTTGGAACCCCTTTTTCACTTCCATTTTACTTCTTTTTTTTTCTTTCTCATTCACTTAGCGGGGGTTCCAACTGCAGTCTTTTGCACGGTCGACCCTTATAGTCGAGCAAGAGAAATTTCTATACATCTGGCGCTCGCCAGAGTACTTCTTTTAACTCATTTTCCTCAACTCGTGTGGAGGGTCAATGAAATTAAGGGGGGTCGGAAGCTCTATCCATGCCCTTAAAAACACATCCTCAAGTAGGCAAACCGTTCAACGGGTGGAAGTTTTACTTGTACTAGAGACAGCTTAGCTTCACCTTGTAGGAGTACCCCACTAAGGATCACTAAAATCTCCTCCAAAACCCGATTTTGTGCAATGAACGGTGCCACACACGTTGGGCTTACCCCATGTTTAAGATTTAATGATTTCGACATGGAGAACCAACTGCTTTTCATTTTTCATATTAGCACCCTGTTCGATACACGAGTCCATAACACAATCCAAACAGAGTCACCATTACCACATGAATTCAATGGTCTTAGCTCCACTAATTCACAAAATCAACTGGCACAGTAGAGAGCTAGATAGGAAAAATCTTATACTTAAACATCCTCCATATTGCTACACTACCTCCCTAGGTTGCACATTTCTATAGAGACTGTCAATTCAAAGCATACTGAGCAGGCAATTTGTAAGGAAACACGTACTTGGAGTCCTCAAATTTAAAAATTTGGACAGTGGACTAGGCTCCAAGCACACAAACAGCCAAACATTCACCCGCATACATAATCAAACATCCCCCCCACTCTTAAGCACGACATTGTCCTCAATGGAGGAAAGATAAGGAGGGTAGAACAAAGTTACCAGATCAAGGGTGAATGATGGTTGACGGGGCAGGCGGTGCATTCCAGGGGGAGAGAGTAGTCGGAACACAAACACCACAAAATCTCACAAAGGTTGAGTTATTGCCTCTAAAATCAAATAACAAAACTGACTCAACCGAGGAGAAATAGAGAAAGAAATGCAAACCGACTGGTTGGGTTGCCTCCCAACAAGCGCTTCTTTCACGTCGTGAGCCGGACGATGGCTCCTAAGTTTCGGTCCACCCCAAAACCTCCTTGAAGTTGAGGTTCTCGTCAATGAGGTGGAGTCTCAAGTCACGATCATGTGGTATGACAGGTGATGGATGCTCGTGCACTTGATGCAGATAACGTCTCCACCCTCGAGACCTCTTCTTCTCTTCTCTCGTCTCATTTCACCAAACTAGATATGACATCATCGATTGACCACCATCGCGTCCACCAAGAGGAACCGATGTTGATGTGGCCTTGGTCTGGCAAAGAGATACTGCAAATGGGTCCTTGCTAAGCAGTTCCTCGAAGTTTGGTGGGGATATTACTTGCAACTCATGGCCGATGCAGGCCTCTTCCACCTTAACTCCGTCCTCAGCCTCGATGCCAATTGCTTCTTCAACCTCCCTTTCTTCTTCATGTGGCATCACCCCTAGGAAATGATCAAGAACTCCTTCTGCTTCACTTTCGGCATCCTCCACAACTTCTTTCTGCACCCTTTCTTGCTCTTCTTCTTCTAGCACGGATTGGAGAGCAAGTTGCCAAGCAATTTCTATCCTGAGATCTTCTTGCATCTCCTCACTCATGCCCGCCTCCTCAAAGCCCAGTTTGGGATGTGGGAAGGTGTGTTCGGCTACGACAGGACATTCCTGATCATGATCATCACGGGAGCTCTCCGTGACAACTTCAGTGTGCTCCACAATGTCCTTGTAGCCTTCTTCTTCCTCATCCTCTTCTAGTATGGAAGCAGACGGGTGATCTTGAGCAAGTTGTGCACAAACTTGCTCAACCCGCTCTGGTCTCTTTGATGAGTGTGAAACAGTCTCCTCCGATTCACGGAGGGATGAAGAGTTAGGAGGAGCAAAAGATGAGAAAAGGAGGTCCATCTTATGATTGCGTCTCTCGGAGTCCCAAGCAAACTGCTCCACGAGAAGCCTCAATTGATAGTTTGGATCTGACTGTGGAGTGTAGCATGGCTCTGTAGAATGGTCCGTGAAGGCCGCCATGGGTAACTACAGCTCTGATGGCCCTTCTGGTTGTGGGAGAAATTCTTCTTGATAAGGAGGTTGTTCTTGATATGCCCAGGGGTCTGATTGTTCTCCGTAGTAAGGGGGTTGGTAATGGAATCCGAATCCATTGTCTTCTCCTCCTTGATTGCTCCAGGGGGTCTCGGGGTAATACCACTCGGATGGTGGTGGATACCCCCACTGGTTGGAGAAGCCATGAGGATCCATGATTCAGATCTGCACCAACAAAAACAAAAACACCCAAGTGAAAAGTAAGGGTGGAAAAGAAAAGAAAAGAAAAGAAAAACGCTAAAGTAACAAACTTCTGCCTTTCCTAATAATCTAGAAAGTCCCCGGCAACGGCGCCAAAACTTGACTCGCTATGACACAACTCCTAACAATGGCCAAGTGTCACCAATGGAAGGGACTGCAGTATAGTGGCTCAAGTAATAAATATCGAATCCACGGGTCTCTAGAGTTACTATTACTCAGCTTCAGTTCATTATTTAGCAAACCAGATTAATAAGGAAGAACTAAAACTACTCTAGCAAACTACAGTTAAAGTTAATCTAATTACAGGTTGGGAACTCACTTAGGTATGATTCCCCTAGCCACTAGCCAGATTAATGATTGATGATTTCTAACTTGTTTCACTTTCATTCACAATGCGGAGAATCCTTGACTAGACCTTGAGTCTCGACTAAAGGAACAAGGCCCTCTTGAGTCAATTGCCTAGAGGGATGTATCCTTCTCTAGAACAACCGATCAAGACGTTCTGAACTAGATTCCCTCTATCGAATGAGGTTCTCAATCGATACAAAGCAGTGAATCAACCCTCGACTAAAGCAATCGATCCACTACTATCAATCTATGGTGCTCTATTGACCTAATCAGGTATCGCTCTCATAGGATCAAAGCAAAATCAATAATCTCGACTAAAGCAGAATTGAATCATGAAAACATGTATAGATTGAATATGAACTCAAGATTATCAAGTAAGAGTACTCATACAATCATCCAATCAAACAAACATAGCTAGGGTTCCTCAAAACCTAAGTGAAGGGAAGTTACTCCATAGAGAGGAGAGAGACTGCAGTAAGAATCTTCAGATGATCGGTCTTCAAGTCCGGGCTTATTCCTCAAGCTTCTAAGGCGAAGAAATCCTCCAGTTCCACTCCAAGAATGCCCTCAAATCGCCCTCTCTCTCTTTGGTTCGTCCCTTGGGTGTTTGGGATCCAAAACCCAGCTCTCCCTTTCCTTTGGCTTCAATCTGCCTCAAAAACCCAATTCTGGGCAAAACAAGGTCGAGGACACGGCCGTGTTTTAATTTTACCCGCCCGTGTTTTGCCCCCAGCAGCCCTCGTCGGCCAAACCACGGTCGTGCCTAAATATGGACACGGCCGTGTTTTTCTTTAGGTCAGCCCGTGTTTTTACTGTCGAACATGTTCCCCTATATTCAATGCTTCGTTTCTCCCTCGTCCGGACTCCGAATCAGTCGCCGTTTGATCCCAGACGCTTGTAGTCTCGTCCTCTTTCTTTTCATGACAATATTGCATGATTCTTTGTCCATAAAGTAAGGTAGAAATCCATTCTTCTTCAGGTCATGCCCGAGTTTCTTCTCCCTAATCGCCAATTGATCTCTGATTGACTTGAAACTTGCGCCTATGCTTCACTTTATGTTCTAGGACCTGAAATGTGACAAAGTAACACATCCTAGCGTAAAATAGGCCAAAGACGCCATAATTAAAGCTCAAACAGTCAAGAAACAAAGGGGAAAACATGTGCAAATATCGAGTCATCAGTATCCTTATTTCTTCTTGTTTTTTGTCCCACCAAAAACCAGCAATAAGATTTGGTATCTCATGAAGCACTCCTTGTGGGATTAGGAAAACAGACATCACATAGTTTGCTTGTGCCTGAGCCACAGATGTAATCAACACTTCCTTTCCAGTAGTAGAAAGTAGTTTACTTTTCCACATTTTGACCTTCTCTCTCACTCTGTCAATCAGTTGGCTAAACACTGCTTGTTTTGATCTTCATATGATTGTTGGCAGTCCAAGGTATTTATCGTGATTAGCAACTTGTTTCATTCCTAGGACTGCCACCACTTGATTAGTCTGATCCTCTTTAGTGTTGCTACTGAAGGAGAGTTCTGATTTTTCAAGGCTAACTTGCTGGTCAGATTCCATTTCATACTGCTTAAGTATCTTCTTAGTACTGCTGCCTCCTTTGGAGTATTCTCAAAAAATAAAATACTGTCATCTTCAAAAAACAAATGGGTTAGTTCTGGACCATCTTTGCTCACATGAATGCCATGTAGTTTTCTTTGCTCCACCGCCTTCTTTGTTATAGCAGACAAGCCTTCTGCACACAGTAGGAAGAGATACGGGGATATTGGGTCTCTCTGTCTCAATCCTCATGTTGGCTTGATTACTGGAGACTGGTGGCCATTTATTAGTGCATAATAGTTAACTGCGGTAACACACTGCATAATTAGATTCACCCATCTTCCATCAAACCCGAGTTTTAACATAATAGCTTCTAGGAACGACCATTCAAATCGGTCGTAGGCTTTGGCTATATCCAACTTTGCAGCAACATACCCTTTCTTCCCTTCTTTTCTGTTTTTCATGGCAAAAAAGCACTCAAACGCCAGTATAATGTTATCAGTAATGTTTCTTCTCGGGACAAATGCACTCTCAGTTCCAGTTATCACTGCATTTAGCACATTCTTAAGTCTATTAGCCAACACCTTAGATATGATTTTATAGAGCACTTTGCATAGGCTAATGGGGCGAAAATTCTTCGTGCTCTGTGGGTTTTTCTTCTTAGGGATCATTGTTTGATACAAATTTGGCGGTATTACTCCTCCTTCTAACAAATACCCATTTTAAGTTGATCTTGTTAAAAGCGAACCAAACACACAATTTTCCTAGCTTCTACCAAACTTGAACATAATCAATTGTTTAAGCTGCCGAAATAAACACACCCATAGACAAATAGAGTACCAAGTACCAATAGAGTGAAAGCTTGGGCAAAAGAAGCAACGTCCTCATCTTCCTCTGCTCTCATGACTTATCTCCTCTTTCTATAAACGAACTAACCACAACACCGCCCAAACAAAATAAAGTGACTATCCTCATTAATGAAACCTCCTTCCTTCTTCCCCTCTCCCTATACATATATACATCGCGCGCCTTTCTTTCCCCCCACTCATTACTTCTTATCTGAGGGAGCTCTGTCTTTCCCAAAACAGAGCATTTCCGTTGCTTCTCTCAGAGTACCCATTTCTCATTTTAGTCTCTTCTTATAACGATTTCTTCCCTGAAAACTGTCGAATTTCTGCTGAATTTCTTACCTTTTTGGTTACCATTTGAAGATCTATATCTCTGTTGCAGATACAGTTGATGGTTTCTGAGAGGATAAAGAAGAAGAAGACCGACTGGTCTCTCCCACCCAGGAGAGGCCAGATCAAAGCTGAAATCTTGAAGAGCATCGTTCAGACCGTCGCTTCCGCCGCCATCAAGGCCGTTGAAGTCGTCGGGATGAAACCGCGCGGCGGTGGATCCTCGTCGTCAAGCTCTAGCGCCGGCTCTGCTTTCGCAACCCCGCCGCCGAGCCCAACCACCACCGTGAAACTCTCCGCCGCCTAGCTTATTAAGTAAATGTTACGCCTCCACCGTGAATGATGTTGTTTTATGGTCATATATTCACCGGCGCCATGGACCATGGGCTTTCTTTTTTTCATCAACTCCCTTCCTAATTATCCCTGTGTGCCTTTTTTCTTCTTCTTCTTCTTCTTGCGATCACTCCCTGTCATTCGAGGTTGTCATTTGGAAGTGCTTTTTTTTTCTGTCCTTCCATGGATGATGTACATCGCAAGAGGGTTTTGGTCTTTTCCGTTATGTTTATTTGTGCTCTTTCTTCTTGTGTTTTAGGCCTAATCGTCCTTTTTGGGCCGCCATGGCAATAAATCATATATGGTATGGTTACTACTTAGTGCTAATACCACTAGAAATACCAATTTTTAGCGAAAGTGTCATTTATATTATGAAATTTTCGATATGACAATTGTATACCAACCGTTAAGTTTTCCATTAAGGATTAACAGAAAATACAGTCAACAATGACGTGGAAATTTTTAATAAAAAATAAATGTAAAAAAAAAAAAATTCGAAGCTCGTCCACTACCTTACCCTACCTCACCGCTCAGCCTCTCCCTCTCTCTCACATCTTCAAGTCGCCGCCTTCACCCAGCTTCAACGTCGCCGCCGCCATAGCCATCGTCAACTCTCGCAGATTGGGGTTTCGATGCAACCACTTCTCAAACTACACCACCTCGAGGCAAGCGGCGGGGTCGAGTCATTGAAGAACTACTCCACCGGGTTGAACTTTTCCTCCGACTCGTTCCTCAAATACAGCCTCCAGGCCAACCGCCACAACGAGGTCTTCTCCAACTACGCCACTGATGGCAACGTCGCCAACCCCAGCTTCGGAACGGCTCCAGATCTACCGCCGACGATTTCAAGAACTACCAAAACTGAGTCAACGTGCCTGGTCGCCGCTTCACCACCTACGACTCTGTCAGCAACGACCACAAGCTCGGTTTCTCCAGCTACAGTGACGACACCAATGCTTGCTCCCAGTCCTTCACCAGCTACGCCAACACCCCAGATGCTTACAACAACTATTCTAAAATCCACGCACAACTGTGAATCAATTCACAATTTGGATTCAAAATTGAGTTTCAGAAACAAAATTGATTGGGTCTTTCGAATTCAGCTAAGAAGGAAGCAAAATTGATTGTTGGGAAAAAGAATAAGTCAAGGCGGCTACTTCATTCTTCTTCAAGAACCCAGAATCATCTACCCCAGGAATCCAAAAAATGACGATGGTGGAACTACGGGGATCTCGTTTGCTTGGATTTGAGGGAGCACCAGAAACTCTCGCGATTTCGTCAAGCCAAGAGAAGCGACCAGGGGCATTCTTTGTCGAATGAAGCCTACAACTGACGAAAAACCTTCACGATTGGGACTGCTACTCTGCTCCAGGTCGCCGTCGGCTGTGTCGAATGGTGGAGGGGAGGAAGGTTTGTCGCATTGGGTGGGTTAATTTGAGGGAAATGGTTAATTTGAGGTGGGGTGGTTATTCTGGTAATTGGAAGGGGTGGGGTGGGCTAATTCAAGTGAGGAGCTTCCTCTGTAGTGATCGTCGGCGATTATGGGGAGGGAGGGAGAGAGAGAGAGAGAGAGAGAAAGAAAGAAAGAAAGAGAGGGAGGGAGAAAGAGCTGATGTGGCGCTTAGGTGGATGATAAATGGTGTCATGTCATTAAGAGTCAAACATGTTTTGGCTTTTGTTAGGTCAACCGTCAATTCTAACGGTCAACAAAAATTTGCGTAATACAAATAACGCAAATACCTAATAAGTTGGAAATTTTTTGTGTTTATTGAAGTTACGTATTATAAATGGCACTTTCGCTAAAGGTTGGTATTTCCAGTGGTATTAGCCCTACTACTTATTACTAGACTAGCTTCCTTGATGGTCACTTTTTGTTCTGTTTTTTTTTTTTTTTACTCTCATGCACTTTTCCCCCAACTTTATGGCGACGGATCTATGGGCAGTTGTCTAGAGGTATGTATAGGGCTGTCCATTTGGTTTTGGTTTTTTTGGTTTTAACCGAAACCAAACCAATGGGAAAGCTAATGGTTTCAGTTTTTCGGTTTTAAACCAATAAGCAACTTAATGGTTTTGGTTTGGTTAGAATTGAAAACCCAATAGAAACCATTAAGAAAAAAATAAGAATAAAATTATTTATCAATATTTTTTTGTTTCTTTTGATACGCATGCCAACCAATAATTTGTAATGACCATTTATCATTATTATGACGTTTATTCAATAAAAGGAGGGAAATGGGAATAAATATGAGTGTATGAGTACATGTTGGTTTTTTGGTTATCCAAACCAAAACCATCAAAGTCCTTATTGGTTTTTGGCAACCGAAAACCAATAAAGGCCTTAATGGTTTTGGTTCTTGGGATTTGATTTTTGGTTTTTCATACTTAATGGTTTGGTTAACCAAACCAAACCAAATTGACAGCCCTAGGTATGTATACAAGTCAAGTAATGCTCACCATGATAAAGTAATGGCTTGATTCAGGAATGTTTTTGTCTTCCCCCCTGTTTGTCGAAGCTTTACTTTAAGCAGGGCTTAGTAATCTTATGGTGAATAACCATGAGTAACCCGTCCACATCAGCATGACATCAGATTTCTCACTCGTTTTAAGTCGAAATTTAATTTTTTTTGCACATTTAGATCTGATTAATTGTGCTCTTGAAAATGATATCCACTTTGATATATTTTTCAAACAAAAAAAAATTGAGCCATTTTTTACCAGTCTATACCATATGGTATTGACTGGTATTGAAATAAGAGCATGCCTATGGTTTGAAAAGCGTACCATGGTGGTATGACACAAACCAAAACTATTGGATGGTTGAATACATGATAGTAGAAGTATATTAATTGTCATTTACGACTTTTAACCAAGGACCAGGATACCGTATCGGACCGGCCGGTCGGATCGAGAAAACTGGAAACCAGAGGTAAAACGGCACAATAGGGGTTGTGTACCCTTCAAAATCGTGTCGGGCGGTATTTGCGGTTGGACCGTAATGGGCCGAAATTTCGGCCGGTTTTAATAAATCCGGCGGTCCCTTCATTTTACGCAAACGGCGCCGTTTTGATGCAAACTAAAAAAAACTGAAGGGAAGCAGAGACGCGAAAACCTACCTTCGGCTGGCCCTTGCTAGCGCTCTTCTCTCTGCCTCTCGTATCCCTCTCCCAGCGCCGCTCTGCCTCTCGTCTCCCCGCGCCGCGCCGCTCTGCCTCTCGAACTCTACCAGAGATCAAACACCACCGGCGACAGCGTCCTCCCCAGCAACCAAACATCACCGGTGATAGAACAATAATTACACATGTTTCTACCCCTATTCTTGAGCCGTTTGAGATGTCGATTCCCGTGTTTTAGGCCGATTTCACGCTAGGTTGTTCTTGTTTGTGATATTTCAGGCCCTAGTACGTGAATGAAGGTTTAGGAACGAGTTCGGGGTCGATTGGACGAAGTTTGGACGCTTGGCGAGAAGCTGAGAAGCCACACGGGCATGCCCAAAAGCCACACGGCCGTGTGGGAGACCCACTGTGGCCGTGTGAAGGCTCGCCAAAAGCCACACGGGCAGCCTGAACACTCACACGACCGTGTGGGTCGTGTCCGCGTAGCTTGCCTGGTTGCCACTAATCGAAACGCCGCGTTTGGACACTCACACGGGCAGCTGGGAAAATCACACAGCCGTGAGACATGGTCGTGTGAGTCGGGATTTTCTGGTTTTAAGCCAATTTCCAGCCACAAGTGAGGGAGTTCCGAGTTTTAGAGAGACATAGCGATTCCTAGAGAGAGAAAGCGACGAACAAGAGTTCCCAAGTGCCCTAGCTTGATCTTCATCACCATTGGAGCCCGGCTTGAGCTTGGAGAAGTGCCGATCGACGCCCAGGAGCAGAAACCCATCCTTCACAGTATGGTTTCCGCATCTGAATCTGCTTTTGCTTCTTTCTCCATGGAGTAGTTTTCTCATTCATCTGGGTATGGAGAACCCTAGATTTGTATGTTAGGTCTGATTGTATGAACCCAAGTACAGATTCTATGATTTGATTATATTCAATTGAGGTTTGAATGATTGAATGACTTGAATCCTGATCAAATTCCTATTATTTCTGCTTTAGCCTAGAATGAGAATATCTGCCTAGGTTAATAGAGTACCCTTAGTTGAAGGTAGTGAATTGGCGACTTTAGTCGAGGAGCCAGTTCACTATTCTGTACCGAAGTTGCTTTGGTAGTGGAGGTTTTGTTCGTTAGGGCCTCAATCTGTTTACTCCGGTGGAGGTTAGTCGCCCGTTGGGGACTCAGATTGAGAGGGTCTGGAGACCTTTAGTCGAGACTTCAGACTGTTTAAGAACCTTCCGCAGTATAACTATCATAGAAACTGAACTTGGTAATTGCAATCCGGCTTAACTGCAGTCTAGGGGGAACCATATCCGGGTGACCTCTCTCGACTTGAAACAACCGTTTAACGTGCTTTGTGTTTTTGTTTGTTTGAACCTGCACTTAAGTTTTACCGCTAGATAATAAGAATTCACTGAGTAGTCATCACATCTAGGACCCGTGTTGACATTAAAACCCAAACCCGCTATACTACGCTTTAGGAAGTGGTTGCACTTGGCCATTTTCTAGAGTGACAGTAGGAGTGGTCAAGTTTTTTGCGCCGTTGCCGGGGACGGCTAGGTTGTTGAAGAAAAGTGATTTCTGTTACTTTAGCATTTTCATTTTCGCATTGACTGTTTGTTCTTTCCCACTTGTGCCTTCACGGGTTGGCTTGCTTGATTGTGTGTAGGTAGTGCATGACCCGTAGCCAGTCGGGAGGTTTACTGCCGTTGAACCCGGAGATTGAACGCACCTGTCGCCAACTCCGGAGACAACAGCGAGCTAGACAGGCTACGGAGGAGCGCATAGACGTCCACTTGAGCAGCAATTCTGAGGAAGAGTACGAGATGGATGGAGATTACAATCCACACCAGGGGAATCCTCACCAGGTTCTCCTGGTGAATCAGGTCTTGGGGAACAACCCCATACCCCAGGCAGATGGGGTTCATCATCATCCACCGCCGCCAGATCCCACCTTGGAGTACTACAACACTCCACGGATTGCTGACATCCGCCCAGTCATCCTCTACCCGCCTATTCCAGCGAACAACTTCGAGATCAAGCCATGCTGGATTCAACTCATTACATCATCTATCCAGTTCCATGGCTTGAAGGATGAGGAGGCAAGGGTGCATCTTTCCCGTTTTCTGCAGCTGACGAACGGGTTCAAGTTGAACGGTGTCCCTGATGACGCAATCCGCCTTCACCTCTTCCCCCATTCTCTGGCGGGGAATGCTAAGAGGTGGTTGGAGACCCAGCCCCCATTGTCCATCACTTCTTGGGATGATCTGGCTGACAAGTTCATGCACAGGTACTACCCAGCATCGAAGACCATAGAGATTCAGCGGGAGATCACTCATTTCCGCCAAGAGCCAGACGAGTCACTTCGTGATGCATGGGAACGGTACATGGGATATTTCTGGCAGTGTCCCCATCATGGCTTCAGTGATGCATCACAGTGGGGAACTTCTACAGTGCCCTCTCTCCGAACAGCCAGAGGGTGATTGAGTCTCTATGCCCAGGTGGGGATATTCTTACTAAGACTCCACCCGAACTGAACCAGATGATCAGTACCTTGGCTGCCAGAGATCATTCCTGGAGGCAGAGCAGCAGAGGAAGACATTCCCGAGACCGTGGTGTGCACGCCATGGAGACCAGATCCGGGCTCGAGCAGCAGGTAGCCGAGTTAGTGCAGACATTGAAGCATCCCAACAGTCTTATTCCAGGCAGAGGTTTGGCTACACCTCCAGTAGCTCAATGTCAGTGGTGTGAGAGCTCAAATCACCTAGTGGAAGACTGTCAGGCTATGAGGGAGTCTTCTACTCCCCAAGAGCAGTTGGACTTCATCGCCAATGCTCGGCGCCTCGACCCGTACAGCAATACCTATAATGAGGGGTGGCGCCAGCATCCCAATTTCTCTTGGAACAGAGGCAACCTTTCCAGGCCAGCTGGTGGTTTTCAGCAGAGGCAACCTTTCCAGGCCAGACAGGGGCCAGCCCCACAGCAGCAGCCCTACCAGCCTAAGCAGGGGCAACCATCCCAGCAGCCCCAGCGTCAGTATGCCGAGCCAGAAGCAGCTCCGGCTCCAGATAATCAGATGACGGAGCTTAAAAACATTCTAGCGTCATTCATGACTACCACTCAGGCAACTGTCACGAGGTTGGACCAGAGCATAGCGTCACTGGAGGCAGGTCAGAGGAACCAAGGTGCCATTTTGCAAGATTTGCAGAACCAGATGGGTAGCATGGCTCGCCAAAACACTACCAGGGCACCGGGGACTCTGCCTGCCACCACTGTTCCGAATCCTCGTGAGCCTCACCAGCACCAGCAGCTAGATGCCATCACTACTAGTAGTGGCAAGACCACATCTGCTGCTCCTGTCCAGCCCAGTCAAGATGAGCCACTACCTGCTTCAACACTTCCAGATGATAATGCAGAGATGAGGGGAGACAAAGAAATACCTGCTCCCAAGCCACAGCCAGTGGTTAAGGAGCATGTACCTCAGCTTCCTTTCCCCACTCGCCTACATAAAGACAAGCTGGAGACTGAGTTTGCCAAGTTCAAGGCAATGTTGAAGCAGGTCAACATTAGCATGCCGTTCGTGGAGGCACTGTCGAAGATGCCCAAGTATGCCAAGTTCATGAAGGACCTCCTCACCAACAAGAAGAAACTTGGGGATCTTTC